AACTCGCTATCTCTTTTCTGTCCAAAACACCACATAATTACTATACCTTTCAGTATCTTTAGATCAGTTCTGCAAATGAAATGGTTTATAAATGCTATTAATAACACTAATAATTTATGACTAGAAAAAGCCGTTTTGAAATGAGAAATTTCATTTTTGCCCCCGTTTACAGATATCACCCATCCGATCCCTGATCTGACGGGATACATCACAGAGGGACAGGTGTATGTTGACAGACAGCTGCACAACAGACAGGTGAGAAGTTTGACCAGTCATAACATCTGAAAAGCTTTGTGTGATTAGGAAATTGGTTAGGTGTACGTAATCCACTTCAAAATCTGCAAAAGTACAGTAGGACTCATTAATGTGTTTCATACAGATTAATTTATTATCAATATTTAATCATTCATCTTTAAGGTGAACCTTTTCAAAGTTACAGTACAGTTTTTTTCTTTTCTTTTTCATAACCAAACTCTTCGTTGTTATATTTTTCCACTTAAAGATCTATCCTCCCATCAACGTACTGCCATCTCTCTCTCGTTTGATGAAATCTGCTATCGGAGAGGGAATGACCCGCAAAGATCATGCTGATGTCTCTAACCAGCTGGTAAATAAGTTGTGCAATGTTCATTCCACAGTTTGCCATTTAATTGTGATTTTTCAGGCTAATTCTCCCTCTGTTTTTCTCTTAATCCCATAGTATGCATGTTATGCTATTGGTAAAGATGTTCAGGCTATGAAGGCCGTTGTGGGTGAGGAAGCTTTGACCTCGGATGACCTGCTGTACCTGGAGTTCCTGCAGAAGTTCGAAAAGAATTTCATCGCTCAAGGTAAAAAAAAAACCCTAGCGTGCAATTTTCTGTACTGCATATGCTCATTTACCTTAGATGGGTCTAAATTTGGCAGAAATGTTAGAACTGCAATTTTAACCAGCTTTTAAGGGACCAGTTTTTGGAGATGTTTTATTTTAAGCAGTTTGTCACACTAAAGCATTTTTTTTTTTTTTTTGAAATTCCAAGGTCTCTCAACTGTGTTTGTATGTGAACACTATTATGCTGTTTTATATTCTATACTGGAAACCACTAGACAATATCTATTTCTATCAGCCACTGCTCTTGCTCTGCCGCGAAGCACTTTCACCTCAGTGAATGTTCTTCTCAATGCTGTCACTCTTCAGCGTGGCTCAAGGTGCACGGCCCTCCGTCCCCATCAAACCCTCCACTTCACTTGTAAAAAAATATGTGCATCTTTCATATTGATCGCGGCCCTATTTTTGGAATGAAATCTCTCGACTTCCTTTGTGTCTGTCACACAGTTGCTATGTCATTACTGTCATTGGTAGAAAAGGACATTGTCTAAGTTCCACCGACACATGTTGGACTCCAACAATCTCAGTTATTGCTTCTATTTACAGAAAACAAAACATGCATTCACTCATCTCCCCATGAGTGCGGTACAGTGTTTCCTTCAAGTAAAGCACTTTTCTGTTTAACTGAAATATGCTATTAAAGATGCTACGTGTCAGTCAGTGGTTTTGATCTTTTAAGCAACATGAAGCCAAATACAAGGCCATAAAGCCAATTTCTTAAGGAACATCCAGTCTTTCACATTCACTTTTTTTGCTTCGAAGCGAAAACATTAAAGCTCTGAGAAATTAACATCTGATTATAATTCTTTTTATATGACATTTTATTCGTTTTATATATCTGTATCTGTATAATGTTGATCAAAAGTTGTGATTGGTATGATTTATTAAAAGGTGCAATAGGTGATTGTCTTCAGAAACATTTTTGGTTATGCTGGGATGTGAAAGTCTCTTCACATCCCGATAGCAATCATTAAGTTAAGTGGTCTAAATGTATTTATCTGTATTTATACATTTTGTGGAAGACGTAGGACCAAGAAATGTTCGTCCAATCAAAACGCTCGGTCCGAACATTTTAATTGGCTTTCCTACCTGCCTGTCAACACATGTATTTGCATACATCTGCGCACCCGGTTCGCGCAGACAGGATACGCGAGGACTGGAATTGGGAACTGCTGATGTAGCCTATTGTAGTAATGTTGTCTCTGGTATTCTGGTCTGTGAGCGTAAATGCGTTCAGGGGGCATGGCTTTGGACGGTGATTGCAGGGAGGGTGGGATGTTCGCTTTCAGTGCTATCAGGCTAAAGTTAGCATTTTCCAAGATCTCCTACTGCACCTTTAAATGTTTTTGAAAAAATTCTAATGCTCATCAAGGCTGAAATTATATACAAAATGCAGTAAAACAGTAATATTTTAAAACTGTATTACAAATTTAAATAAATGTTTTCTATTCATATATTTTTTTAAATGTAATTTCTTGCTGTGCTTTCCAGCAACCATTACTCAAATCATTCTGATATGCTTATAATATCATTCTATATTATTATTGTCAATGCTGAAAACAGTTGTGCTTCTTAATAATTTTTTTTTCAGGATTCTTTGCTAAATAGAAAGTTCAAAAGATAAAAGTATATGTATAGATAAAAGGTGAATAAAAGTATACATATCTTTCAAAAACAATCTGAGCCCTCCCTAAAGCCTCTGACATATAAGCGCACTATTTTTATAATTTTTTTGCCAATATAAGTCAATGGGAGTTTTCATGTTGATAGCACCCTTTTTTTTTTACCCCTTTTAAGAAAACCGTAAGACCAATCAGTTAGGTATGGCATACGCAAGTCAGAACAGTCTGACGCAAAATTTTTCGTGATGGAAATGAAATCATAGATATATGTTTTGTTGGTCATGGCTCAAAGATATCCAATGAATAAGTCACTTGAGTATGTGACAAATGGTTCAAAAGTTATGATACATAATAAAAGCTTGAGTGTTATGTCATGTGACTTTGAGGTTATGAGGTATGTGTGTATTTCTCTAGGTCCCTATGACAACAGAACTGTGTTTGAGACGCTGGACATCGGTTGGCAATTGCTCCGAATCTTCCCCAAAGAAATGCTGAAGAGAATTCCTCAGAGCACACTGGCCGAATTCTACCCGAGAGAGTCCGCTGCCCGTCACGGAACCTCCTAAGACCACTACACCTTCTGGAGGCCCGGGCTAAAGTTCACGTGACCTGTCTCCCTCAGAAAACATCATCCCTTGTGTCCACCTTTACTCTGAAAAGTGGTGTTTAGAATTACAGGGCATAACTCTGGGATAATACACATTTAATATGCGTAAAATGGTTTCATAAACATGCGTGTCATTATCCCATGTATTATGACCACCAGAGATTATTCCATTGTCCCCCATTGTTGTGTTATACATGTTTGTGTGTACTTTATTGTGTGGATAGAATATGTAATCGTGATTTGCTTTTGTTTCAAGGTTTTGTTTTGGAGATGCATACTGTCCTGTAGTTCATTTCTTTTTTCTTTTTTTGAGTTATTTCACTATCTGCAGCCTAAGGAGAATATTAAAAACATTTGAGCTCAAAGGGAAAAATTCAGTGCTTACTTGCACATTTATGTGCTCTCTCGCATCCTCCATTCATCACTGCAACAAGCGCAGAAATAATACCATATTTTGAAACATACCAATGTAAGTCATGAGAATATTTGATTTACAAATTATTTTCTGGCCCTTCCCTTGAAAATATTTGCTTTTATTTATTTTAATATCCAAAAAACAAATCCAAATTAATGTTTGTGCACCAAACTTAGTTTGTGTTATGCTGACAGACAGGTAATTATAGGTGTTGAATGATCATATAGTGTGTATGCTTGTCACTCACAGCTGTTTTTTCCCTGTTAGAGGAGGTTCTAGGATGTTTACAGCATCTGTGTTTTGAATTATGTGCCGAGATATAAGACTGATTAAACATTCCCCCGTTACTCTGTATGTGTAAATACGTTTTACCTGTGTTGATTGTTGTTAAACCTGTCAAACCTCTCAGATGAATTAAATTATATTGTTATATTGTGGTTGGCTGGCTACTTCAGTTATTTGCCATAATAACAGTAATGTTAATTGAAGTGAATGAAAATGCCAGTGGATTGTTTTCTGTGCTGAGGGACTGTCCTTACAAAAATATACAAAGATAACAGTTTCAACAAGAATATTATAGCTCCTATAGTTAGTGGGGTTTTCTTCAACTTCTGGCAATTTTATGCCCCAGGGGTTGATTTTATTAAAAGTAACGGATTTCATTTTGTTAAATTATTTGTGCTATTATTTAAATGCTTTTATGTTATATTTCATTGTTTTACTTGTGTCTCAGACCTATACTGTTAAAAATAATAATAATTATTTAAATTCGTCTCTTATTAGTGTGGCCTCGTTTTATCAGGGTCCAGAAATCCTGCCCCTTTCAGGATTTTTTTTGAAAGTCAGTGAATTTGTTTAGGAAGATGTGATATAAGGATATAAGATGTGATGGGTAAAGAAGACAGGGAAAAATCAATTTTGAAATTGTCTTTATTATTATTGTGTGTGTGTGTCACGTCTAATCTAGCAATAATTTTGCGGAATTGAGCGGAACGTGAAAATTATAGTTATTGTGTGTATTATATATAAAATGCTGGCTATTTTAAATGCAATTTTATTCTAAAAATATTTACAAGTCATTTCCACCACCATAATTTCCGCCACATAATGCTGTAAAGCATCACGTTATTTAAGATGTGAAAATGACACTGGTAGAAATAGCCATGATTACCAAGAAGAAAAAAAAGTATTTAAATTAACTGAGAGTGTGTAAAACGATGTGATTTAAAAAAAGTTTATTTTCTCAAAGTCCATTCTAGGTGGTCTAGAACTGTCTATAGTTGGAAAAACTACTGTAAAATCGTAAAGCGTGTAATTTGCACTTTATTTTTTAAGCCATTTTTGCTAATACCATGTTAGTACCACATTTTATTGTAGTAACTATATTCGAGGGAGAACTATGGGTTGCGGGGTACATTTTTACTTTAACGGAGCATGCTGATGACCGTAGGTGTGACCATGTGTCATTTCCTGTGTCGCTCGCGCTATGCTTATTGCTTAACCGGAGTTTTGATTCAGTAACCTCAGGAACTCTCAATGGCGTCAACGGGAAAGCAGAAAGAAGTGAAAATGATTTCAGAACTGTCCAACCAAGGTAAGCGTGGCTGTGGCGAATGCATAAGGAGTGCTGGTGTGCTCTAACCAGTGCGCTTAATAGTGTATAGAAACTAGGTTGCTGAAACTGTAACAGTCAACACACGGGTTCTGTAGTAATAGGCCTAACATTACATGAAATAGTTTCCCCCCCTAGTTATAACACTCATCTTGATGACGACTTTATTTGAACCTTATTCCCAGAAAGAAAAAACCCATAATACTTATTGTACAAGGGAAACAAATAATATATTTCAGTCATTCTTGAGACGTGGGACAAAAACAGGTCCAGCAAGGGTAACTGCTATTAGCTTTAAAAAATACATTTGAAATGTCATGAGGGATTAATAATAGAATGTATTTAACACAATTATCACCTTCAATGTAATTTTCTCATTATTATACCAAATCTGTGTTTCTTAATGTCCTCTCACGTCTAAAACAGTGTGTCCACAGAGAAGGGTTCAATCATTCATATGGATAAAAATGTTTTTTTTTTATGATGAAAAAGAGCTTGTTTTATCAAAAGCAACACTTAATAATATCTCCTATCAAATCAAAGTTGTTTTTTAATGACACATGCATGTTTCATAAGATTTTAAAGTTGCGTCCCCACTTTTTGTCAACACCGTCAGACATTCAATAAAATGTAATAAAATCAGGGAATATCAGGGGCAGCTGTCACTCTAAAGGACCCCCTTGTTCACCTCAGTGTCAGACAGGCTCTGCTAAGTTTTAGTTTTAGAATATTTTTTAAATCCTAATGTTAATATTTCCTTTGTCACAGCCATGATATGTCAACACCATCTTCCAATTTCTGAGGAAATTATTTGAAATATTTAGATAATTGTATTCTCCTGAAGCAGGTTCCATTAGCATCTAGCATCAACAGAAAAAAAGAAAATGGCTACTACATGAACTCCATTGGTTTTGTGAAAGAAATGCCAAATTTGTCAACACCGTCAGATGTCACCACCATAAGATTGTGTTCCAATTATATATCAAAATACTTCAATGTGACTCTTGAATAAAAGCTTTATAAACAATTACACACTTATTATTACAATTATTACAAATATATATTTTCGTCACCACCATCAGATGTGTCAACTCCGCCAGTTCTGTCACCTCCGTCAGTTGAATATTTTGATAATATTTCATTATGATATTTTATATTTGTTGTGGAATTGTTGGTCACATGTGAAAGTGTAATCTGTCTGCTAACACGAGAATGTGTTTTGAAATGTTAAAAACATCTTGAATGCTGTTAAAGATAAAGTTGAAATTATATTACACAGTCCAAGGTAAAAAAGCACATTTTGTTAAAAAAGAGAAAAGTTGGGAGGTTGTATCAAAGCATAGCTCAGTAGCTTAGTACATATAAGAAATATATATTTAGTTTCATTTGTCTGAGTACAAGGTTTTATTTTTTCAATTTTGCACTCTGTTTTGTCCCACTTGTCAAGAATGACTGATTTACCAACCAACAAATTCTGAAGTGGAACAAATATTGTATTATAACATTCTCCGTACTTTGTAATCCCTTCTGCATGCAGAGGAAAATACTCCATCAATCCTTTTGCTTTGAGAGGCTTGTTTGGACATGTACACACATTTTTGGTGAACATCCTGGCATTTTTTTTGTTTTCATGTAAAGATGAAACGTTTACTGCAGTCTGTCTTGACATCTATCTTTATTGCCCATTTAATTCTATTTTTTCCCCAGCTAAGTGAGCACAATGTGTTTTAATCCCTGGATAACCAAATGAAACAAACTGATTTTTAATAGCCTGAGTGTTATCAGGAACTCATTTATCTGCTGATCTGTAAAACTTAATAGAATTAGTGGGGAAAACTGTGGTTGATGAACCAAGAATAAATCCATATTTACTCTAATGTGTATTAAAATTATATGACATGTATTGTGATCATTATTTATATGACTTATATAGAACATTTGAGTATTAATATGATAGCTGCGTCTCGATTATGATGTTTTTATGATACCATCTCTGAAAGCTCTAGTCATGTGACTATTGAAATCAAGACTGTCAAGTCTTCACTCTGAAAGATGTAAGGCAAGATTTGTATGGTATCTTTTTGCTCAAAAGTGCTTTTTTTTTTTAAATGTCTGCTATGGCCTTTTCCATGGTAGTCTGTGTCACCATGACATTAATAACCCAGAGACCGTGTGGTTTGTAAATCTTTTACAGATCATGTCTTTTGTTCTAAAATTAGATGCATATTCAGTAGAGCTGATGCTGATTCATACTACAGGCAGAATGTAGACCGTTTTGAGTGGAACTGTTGTCATCTTACCCAGCAAATGTATTTTTCATCCTGGAAGAGAATTTCCGCTATTGTAATTCTATATTTTTGCAACATTAAAAATACTTCTGTTTAAATTAGCACTAGTTTCCATGAGCAGTCCTCACGCTGGACACGAGTTGTGGGTTGCAGTAGAAGTTTCCTGCTGAGTTGATCTCCTGTATAGCGTGTTGCATTAACTGACTGTGTAGTTCATGGGAAGTTGTGAGACATGTTTAACTGGCGTCCTTGTATTTCTGCAGTACTTCTCCAGTATGAAAGCCTCCAAAGAGAATACGAAAAAATCAAGAATGAGGTAAGATGTTTGCTTTCATTCTGTCCTTTCTTTCAGCCCCCTTTTTGCCCTTGCACTTCTACAAAATCTGTGCATGGTCTTAAAGGGATAGTTCACCCAAAAATAAATAAAAATATTTTGGAAATCTTGATATCATTCAGAAATATTATATTTTTCAGCAGTTTCTGTCCATACAGTTAAAGTCAGTGGTGTCAAAACTGCCTTGACTTTCATTGTATTCAAACAGAAAATTCTGTTATCTTTTACTCACCTTCATGTTTACTACCATTCAAAAGTTTGGGGATTTTTCATTGTTTTTGAAAGAAGACTTTTATGTTCACAAAGAATGCTTTTATTTAATCAAGATGG